ACGTGTGCTCTTCCAATCACAAGAAAGAGAAAATATTAATCACTAAAGTAAAGAATGTTATGCTGAATTCTAAAATGGATTTAATTCTTATATTATTTTAGGTACGACTTTGATAATAAAATAAAAATACATGTGTAATATGCATTTTTAAAATATGAATAAAAGAAATAACGAAGAATTATATAACATAATTCTGATCTTAGCTTGTTTCAGTCGATCTTAATGGACTTAGATTCAATTTATTGTGTTAACACTGAAAAAAATTGCTTAATGGACTTAGATTCAATTTATTGTGTTAACACTGAAAAAATTGCTTAATGCAGAGAATTTAATAAAAAAAAATAAATGTAATCACAAAACAAAGATGTCGTTGAAATAAAGAAAAATGTTATAACACTTATATAAAGCTCCATTTCAGAATTCACTATTATTAATTATTTATTTTTAACACTATTATTTCATGTCGCATAACTTTTATAATAAAATAAAAATATATGTTTAATATATATTTATGCCTTTAAAATATGAATAAAAGAAATGATTATAAAGTATGACTATATAACTCTAGTCATGGCTTGTTTCAACCAATCTTTAATGGAATTTTCAATTACTTGTGTTGACGCTGAAGAAATCGCTTTATGCACAGAATCTAGAAAAAGATAAGTTAATAAATTAAATTAAGTACAATAAAAGAATAAAATTAATTTAAAAAACACAAAATTTAATTATACAATAATGTATATACTCTACTATATAATATTATATATTGTAGTATGTACTATATTATAATTCTATATAATTTTAATACCGAGAATCAAATCTTTTAATTTAAGTTCTTTAAAAGGTCTCTTTGGAGTTCTTCCTCCCCAATTAAAATGCATCGCAAACTTTGAAGTAATAAGACTTTTCAGTATTTTTCTTGTAGTTCTCGCTGCACCATGACTTGCTCCAACACGACTAAATTTTAATTTCTGAAAATAGACACAACATATTAAATTAATGAAATATCTACTGAACTTACATGATGTATATAAAAATAATACGTAACACTCACCGTAACTCATGTTGTTATAATTTTCAGTAGTAGAAAGATACTCCTCAAATTCACTCCTCATTAAGTTGTGCGTCATTGTCAATCAGCAGTGTAGGAACATCTGTTTCTTGAAAGACTTCTAATCTCTGAGGTTTTAAAAGAGTTAATATTTCCTGTATAACAGGTACTATAATATTATTCTGTATGTAATTGAGCTTCCTAAGCTTTTTCAAAATTAATAATTCCAGTGATTCTGTTCAAAAAAAGAATATAAATTTAATTAAT